TATAGAATGTCAGCCACAACAGAGTTTGTCAGCAGATGTTTTTTAAGGTCAGAGTTCTATGGGACAGTATTGATCTGAAATACCTTCTCCTGGGTATTTTGAGAAATGAGTGTGAAATGTAAATTGGTATACTGCTTTCATGCAATTTTTTTAGGGGTTTATAGCTTAAGGTTTTAAAACTTTCTATTCTTTTTGTTTTTTTTTAGAGGCAGGGTTTCTCTGTGTAATAGCCCTGGTTGTCCTGGAACTCACTCTGTAGACCAGGCTGGCCTCGAAATCAGAGATCCACCTGCCTCTGCCTCCCGAGTGCTGGGATTAAAGACGTGTGCCACCACTACCCAGCAGGAGAGACAGCTCAGCCGTTAAAGGCTAGGCTTACAACCAAACTTTATAAAACTTTCTATTCTATTGTGAAGGATTTTTGCTCCTTGGCCATACTATGGATTTTCCAAGAAGTATCTGCAAGGTGTAACGTGCATTCTTCTCTCCAGGCGAATAGGTCCTGCTGCTGTCTCAGCCCCCAAATAATACACGGAACACTATATCAATTATGAAGCTGTTGGCTGTTTTCTTGGTTTCTTATTGGCTAGCTCTGACTTAATTATTAATCCATAACTGCTAATCTGAGTATTTCCATGTGGTCTTCTCTTACCGGAGAAAAGGGTCCAGACCTCTTATCCTCTGGTGTCCTACATCATGACAGCCTGTGCCTCTGTTTCCCAGAATCCTCCTTGACTCCTATTCCCACCTATCTTGCTTTCCTATTGGCCAACAGTGCTTTATTAACATATACACAGAAGGACTTCCCCATCACAAAGGTATATGTACAAGAATGTTTGCCACAGTATTTTTAATAAAAGCAGGAAACACTGATGGTAGTCTAATGTTCAATGATATGTATAGTGGGTAAAATAATCACGGCATATTCAGAAATAGGATATTGTACATCTATTAAGGTAAGCCTTATGAAGACTCCAGTGGCAGAGGGAGTTCTTTATGACACGTATTGAATTGTAAAGTTAAGAATAAAAACTTATATAGTGTGATACTCAATTATCAAAAGCTACCTGTTGTAGGTAAAAGCTGAGAAGAAATATGTATTAAAATATATTTCTGGGTCATGGTACTGCAGATGTTTTTTGTTTGTTTCTTCTTTGATTTTTTCTTAAGTCTCTAAAAAGAATATGAATTCTATTTTCAAACAGCCACAGAACAAGCAGGCTTTATTTTTAAGTGGTGACTCCACACACACTCATCAGACCATGTGTTTGGAATTTTATTTGGAAAATCTGGTTACAGTAAATATAGGTCAACTGCTTTCCAAAGACTTTTTAATTGGAGACTGAAAAAACATCTTCAAAGCAAATGACCTCCCAGACTCTATCTAGATGGGAAGGGGGAAATAGAATGCGAAGAAGTGGGGTGCAGCTTTCATCACTCCCCAGGAACAAGGGCCTCCTCCTCTTGGCTCTGGGTGAAAGGAGGGTGGGATGTCTTTGTTTCCCTTCTGAGACTTAGCTCAGGGCCTGGAGGGCCTCTGTAGGAGAGGATGACTACTTAACTTGTGTGTGTGTGTGTGTGTGTGTGTGTGAGACAAAAGGTCTTCCAGAATAAGGATGATGTAAAAGTGGCATCACGTGACACCTCCCTCTCTCTCTGTCACTGTTCCACTGGCGTGAAGAGACACCAAGGACCAAGGCCAAGGCAGTTCTTACAGGAGCAAGCATTTAATTGGAGGCTGGCTTGCAGCTTCAGTGGTTTAGTCTGTTATCATCATGGCAGGGGAGCATAGTGGCATGCAGACAGGTGCTGGAGCAGTAGCTGAGAGTCATATACTGATCCATAGGCAGACAGAGACAAGGACAGAGACAGACAGACAGACAGAGAGACAGAGACTCACACATACACACATGCAGAGACAGACAAAGAGAGAGAGAGAGAGAGAGAGAGAGAAAGAGAGAGAGAGAGAGAGAGAGAGAGTGGGTGAGCCTGAATTGGGCTTTTTGAAACTTCAAAGTCTGCCCTCAGTGACTCACTTCCTCCATAAGACCACACCTCCTAATCCTTCTAATCCTTTCAAACCGTCCACTCACTGGTGACTGAGCATTCAAATATATGAGCCTATGGGGGCTGCTCCCATTCAAGCCACCAGATCTGCCTCAGTCACCCGAGAGTCTCCTGGAAGTGAAAGTGCAGCTCTTCTAGGGTTGAGCCCGAGAGTCTGAGTTTCTGCCCAGCTGCCCATTCTGTGCCATGCCATTCAGCCAGCAAAGGATCAGCAAGATGCGCGGCTGTCCTAGAGGAACACTAGGAGGCCGTGGAGTGCAGCTGTGGTTCTAGTCCACTGACTTTTAGTGCTCCGTGTGCACTGGGACCACCCAGCCCCAGCTTCGTCATTCCAGCCAACGTCAGGTGCTGTGAAAATCAGAACGACAGAGCTGCAGAAGACGTTTACATGTAGACCAGGGTACATCAGAGTAAGACTTCTTCTTTATTTGCCAGTGTATTTGTTTTGTACTAAAAGGCATGGTGACACCTCTGGACTCTAGCTTGGCTTCTATCTGGGAGGTCAAACCGGACAGTGGGTAAATGAAGACTCACTTGTGTTCTATTCACATTGGCCATGTTTGGAACAGCCTGTAACGAGTGTGACTTCTCAGAAGTCCATATTGGTTTAATTGCACACCAGCACCAACATGTTAACACCAAGAGCCACTAGGTAGACCTCACACTGGGGCATGTGAACATCCCATCCATGGATTTCACTAAACTGTGAACGTGTTTGTAGAACATGTGCCTAGTCTGTGGGTATCCTGGGAGGCAGATGGGCTTTCTTTCCGCTATAGAGTTGTCTCCTAGTTTTTTTCAATTAGTGCAATGTTAAAGGTTGACCTAGGATGCATTTGCCTGGAGTTCTGGAGTTTATAGGCAACATAAACAGCAAGCCTGTGAGGGTAGAGCCTGTGGAAAGCCTGTGAGGGTACAGCCTGTGGTAAGCTTGTTAGGGTATAGCCTGTGATAAGTCTATGGATGCAACCTGATGCCTCAGGCAGAAGTATCCTGCCTTTCCCTGCCTTATATGTTTGGCTTTTCTGGCCTGTTTCTTCTCTTGGAGCTAAAAGAAAAACTCGTCTACAATTCGTAAGACCTTAGAATTTAATGTGTGTGTGTGTGTGTGTGTGTGCGTGTGTGCACACATGTGTACATGTGTGGCATGCTGCATGTGTGGAAGTCAGCAGATGACTTGGAGTCACAAGAAAAGAGGGACAGAAGCAGGAGACATTTGGATAGGAGGATCCTGATTGCTGGCATCTTGACCGAGGGAGAGAGGGACCTGAGATTTTTTTTTTTGGCTGTGTTGTTTTGCTCATCAGATTACATGTGCATGAAGAGGACATAACAGGAGGTCAGGTTTATTCTACTGCCATTGTCATTATTCCTTTTAGATAGGGTCCCCCATCAAACTAGAAGCTGCTGGGCTGGTTAGACAGCGAGCTCCCAGAGTCTACCTGTGTCTGCTCTCATGCTGGTGCTACAGGTATGTGTACTCGGGCCTGGTTTGGGCAGTTATTTTTGAAGAAGGGGTTCTCCAACAGAAAATGGTCACATGGAGGGACGAGGAGCTAGATTAAGTGATGAGATACGGAAGCTAGTTTCAGTTTTAGCTGTAAATGTACACCAGAAAAGGTGGAGTAAGCCTGCATTTCAGATCCCTAGGGGGAAAAGGTACTACCAAGGGCTGTCTCAACATTGTATTCACTCATTCATTTGTTCACTCACTCATTCACCAACTCCTTAGTGGGATCCCCAATCAGAGCGAGGTATCATGATGCCATTTGTGATAACTGATCTGTATTATCAACTGGATTTGAAGTCACCTAGAAGATCCGCCCCTGGGTGTCTCTGGTGGCGTGTTCACAGAGGTTAAATGGAGGAGGGAAGGCTATCCTGAATTCAGGCAGCACCATTCCATGGCCTGGGTCCTTGATGAATACCAAGGAAAAGGAGGAGGAAGTGAGCTGAACCCCGGCATTCAACTTCTCTACTTCCTGGTTGCAGATGTGCCGTCACCAATAGCCTCATGTTTCCATGGCCATGCCTTCTCTACTACGATGGACTGTGTCCCTTCAAACCGTCAGCCAAAATAAAGTCTTCCTTGCTTTAGCCGTTTTTGTCATGGCAACAAGAAAAGCAACGAGTGTGTTATTAATGCACGGCTCAGTTCTGTCATCAGAGAGTCGCCGCCTTCCTTGTCTTTCACCACGCCCCCCTCCCCATCGCCACCTCAATTTCATTCTCTGTAGATGGCAGCTGCATGCCAGATGCAGAATCAGGTGCCGGGAAGCACACACTCGGTGTAAATTCTGTTTTCTGATCGCCCTATGACATTTGCTTCTTTTGAATTTAAAACAGATAGAAGGGATGTTTTTGCTAGTACAGAGAATTGTTTTTCCAGACAGGGATCGTATTGGGGTAAGAAGCCAAGTCAGTGTTGCCCGAGGGCCTTACCTTGCTGGCAGTCTCTGCTGAGGGCTGAACCTAGAGCCTCATCAATTATGTGGGTGCGACCCTGCTTTGAGGGGACCGGGGCCCAGGAGCTAGAGCGTCCCATGAGGATTTGTTGTGGGAAACCTTTGGGTTTAGAATCCCCTTTGTCTCTGTGGTTCATCATTTTTGCACGTGGATCTTTTCACACATCTGGTCAATAGTTTATTCTCAAGAATGTGAAGTCATTGTTGGCTGGGGGACCTTTGCATTTATTCTCTTAACTCCTGTGTGAGCGTTAGCTGTCAAGACTCCTGGGGGCCCAGGGTTCACCTCTGAGCCAGCAGGTGTAGGAGAACAGAATTCTAGGCAGATCTGGGGATGGGAGGAAGCCTCTTCCAGACTTTCCTGTGGGGGTGTCATGATTTATAAACAGGACATTTATCTGTTGCATGTGTTTTCTAGAATACCTTCTGTCCCTTTTAACTTATTTTCCTTCCTTCCTGCAACCTTAGCCACCCTGGAAGGGGCTGTGTGCTTCCACTGTGACTGGAATAATCTCTGGAAGAGTCTTTGGGAGACCCTGGTTTCTGGAGTACTTACTGGGAGAAAGGCCACAACTGCAGAGCTACACACAGGCCTACTACAGGTGGGTTTGAATACAGCTTCCCAGTGGGATGTGCTTGGTAGCCCTGCTGTGCTACAATCTGGGTGTAGTGGGCACTCTCCCCTTGCTTCCTCCTTCAGTGACATAATCCTTAGTCACAAACATGGTCATAAGAGGTCAGAGCAACTGTGGTCTCCTTGGGAGCCAGGGCCTTTCACCTTCAATGCAAAGGGAACATTGGAGGCTCTGCTTCAAGTTTACCATAGGGACAACCTCAATGTATAATTTCCCTGGGGAAAAAGAGAAGGGAACTCAATAGGGGGAGGGAGAGAAAGAGGGGAGAAGAGAGGGGGAAGGGGAAGAGGGAGGAGAGGAGAGGCAGAAAGAAAAAGATGTATATATATATGCATATATCTCTATATCTGTATCTATATATCTATATATGTACACACACATATATGCTAAATGAGAAAAGATGACTTACATCCATAGAAGGTGGACATTATTAAAACCGAGTTCTAAGATCTTCACAGTTCCCCTTTCCCAAGGACTTTGGGGAGACAGTTAGTGGTGCAGGTTGCTCTGGGTTTGGGGACATGGATGATGTCCTTTGTCCCAGGACCAACAAGAGATCTTTGGTTAGAAACTTCCGTCAACAAACTCTCTCGTTCCCACAACTACTTCCTAACCCAGAAGAAGATCCTGGTCCTCTCCTCCAGCAAGGCTTAAAGGGATTTCACACCCCACCAAACTCTGTGGGGTGGGTAGCACAGACGTGTGTCCTCTTTCCTAAGATAGAGGACTAGAGACAAGATCTGGCATCAAGTTCTGAACGCAGGCATCAGGCTCTAGTGGAAGATTTCAGGTTATATCTGAATGTCTGTGGGGATTTTCTGTTTCTGATAGGGATGACAATACTTGTCTGTCCGTGAAGTGCATGGTAAGCCAATTTCTTCCTTTGTGTATTACTGTGGATGCTTCAGAGGCCAACTTTATCATCCATGCATCAGTGATAGCCATCACAACTAAGGAGCTAGAGCAGATACTGCCAAGGCTGTTTGAGTCTTGTCTTTTCTCTGTTGCCTTCAACTCAGATAATTTTTAGTTCCTTAGGATTTAGTCTCTCAGCCTGGCCATCTGGTCAGATCTGCTTGCCACTGGAGAAGCATTTTTCTCATTAGCAGGTAGGCGGGGTCCAGGAATGTCCTCAGGGAGCCTTGTAATTGGGATGGAATCTTTGCCTGTGACTCAGCCCAGCAACTTGAGTTTCCCAGGAGAGGCCGTTGATTTCGGTGTTGGAGAGCAGTCCAGGGAGAGAGTCCAGGGAGAGCAGTCCAGGGAGCAGCCCAGGGCCTCAGCTGCTCCCTGCACTGAGGAGGGCTTTACCAGTACCCAGAACCTGGAGCAAGAGTCCAGTCATCATAGGTCAGATAGAAGTTATGGGAAGAAATACGATGAAAGAGACCCTTTAAGAGTTTGTTTGTTTTTATTTTCCAAGACAGGGTTTTCCAGTGTGTAGCCCTGGCTGTCCTGGAACTCACTCTGTAGACCAGGCTGGCCTTGAACTCACAGAGATCTGCCTGCCTCAGCCACCCCAGTGCTGGGATTAAAAGCATGCACCACCACTGCCTGGTAAATTTGTTTTTGAAGCAGAGTCTCACTGGGAACTCATCACATAGACAGGACAGGTATCACATTTCTAGCAATACTCATGTGCCCCACCCCTTTCCTGAGTACTGGGGTTACAGACGCACACACCACACTCCTCCAAGATTTTATATTTTGAGGGGAATCCAAGATAAAAAGGGGAACGAAAGTAGGAGGGCGAATGAAAGGATGAAAGGTTGTAAAAGAAGAAAGACAGAGGGGAGAGGAGGAAGACAGCTGGAGAGAGACAGAGAGAGACAGAGACAGAGAGAGACAGAGAGACAGAGAGAGAGACAGAGACAGAGAGAGGGAGACAGAGAGAGACAGAGAGAGACAGAGACAGAGAGACAGAGAGACAGACAGAGACAGACAGAGACAGAGACAGAGAGAGACAGAGAGAGACAGAGATACAGAGACAGAGAGAGACAGAGAGACAGAGAGAGGGAGACAGAGAGAGACAGAGACAGAGAGACAGAGAGACAGAGACAGAGAGAGACAGAGAGACAGAGACAGAGAGACAGAGACAGAGAGAGACAGAGAGACAGAGACAGAGAGACAGAGACAGAGAGAGACAGAGACAGAGAGAGAGACAGAGAGACAGAGACAGAGAGAGGGAGACAGAGAGAGACAGAGACAGAGAGAGGGAGACAGAGAGAGACAGAGACAGAGAGAGACAGAGAGACAGAGAGAGAGAGGGAGACAGAGAGAGACAGAGAGACAGAGACAGAGAGAGGGAGACAGAGAGAGACAGAGACAGAGAGACAGAGAGACAGAGACAGAGAGAGACAGAGAGAGACAGAGACAGAGAGAGACAGAGAGACAGAGAGAGAGGGAGACAGAGACAGACAGAGGGAGACAGAGACAGAGAGAGAGACAGAGGGAGACAGAGACAGACAGAGGGAGACAGAGACAGAGAGAGAGACAGAGGGAGACAGAGACAGACAGAGGGAGACAGAGACAGAGAGAGACACAGAGAGACACAGAGACAGAGAGAGACAGAGAGAGATATGAAGGAGGAGGACAAGGGGGAAGAGGAGAGGAGGAAGAGGGAGGAGTTGGAGGTGGAGGAGGAGATAAAATGATAGGCACACTGGGGAAATGTTCTCCCTCAGATGTGTAGCTCAGAGAAATGCTGGCTCACACCTCCCTCAAGGCGGGCAGTCTGCTCTGCTCAGGTCTGGGCAGAGGAAGAGAACAACTCTAGGCCCACTCCGAGCTCTAACATTTACCAAGCCTAGCTGAACCCCCAGGCTCTCCTTTTCAAAGCACACCCGAAGATATTGACAATAGTCCCGTAAGCCTCTGGCAAAGCCAACCTGCTAATAGGAAGCATCCCACCTCCAAATCATCAAGCCTCTTGGTGAAAGCTACAACCACCCACCAGATACAGTCTTCAAAGCCTGCCACCAGATCTCAGGTTTCCACCTTGCTGGTTCCCATGCATCTGGAAATACACGCACTATTTATTTACTTTTTTGGGGGGGCGGGGCAGTTGCTGTAGAAGATCATCTCTCCAGGCACTGTTGTCAGCAACAGCTCCAGACACTTCTGGTAGGAATTACTGCCTGCAAAACCCTCTGAAAACAGAGGCAAGTGAAGGCAGTCACATTCATCAGATCAGAAAGACAACTATTGGCCGTTTCCTCTGGGCTGTGGTCCTTTAAGTTTGTATAGTCTCACACGTATGTATAGTACAGACTGGATGAAATCGAAGTGAGATAGATTGTCCAGGGGAACTAAAGGGATTAAGGAGAGAAATTAGGCAAGCAAGGGTGGTTGTGGTGGAGGGAGAATGTGCTAACCACACACGCTGGTAAGAAAAAGACACCCTTGACATTCACAAGCAGAAGTCGAAAAACATCAAGTCCTCAAATTCTAAAAAAAACTAGAAACCTGATAAATGTGAATTTCTAGATAGTCTTTGGTTTCCAAAGTAAATCCATTTTCCTGTCCTCTCTGCTGAACTGTGAGCTTCCTGGGTGAAAGAGCTCTGCATGGTGCTTCTGAACACCCCTGTTCCTGGCACGTGGGTAGGGATAATGACGCATGCCCACGAATGGCAAGCTACAGGTGCACCTCACCATTCTCTCGACATGGTGGTGGATAGGCCGAGGAGAACTATAAGGCTTTCATGAAAGGGCTACCTACGCTTGGGAGCATCAGGGGCACTCTCTTTGTCAGAAATTTTTATTTTGTGTGTATGGGTGTTTTGCTTGTATGTATATGTGTGCCTTTTCCCTTTGGAGTCTGGAAGAGAGCATAGGATTCCCTGCTGCTCCAGTTACAGATTGTTGTGAACTAACATGTGGGTACTGGGAACCAAACCCAGGTCCTCTGTAAGCGCAGCAAGTGCCCTTACCCACGGAGCTGTCTCTCCAGCCCGGCAGGATCACTCCTGACTATGAAGCCTGGGTAGATATGCCCCTCTGTTGTACAACAACCAGGTGTACAGAGACGAAGGACCACAGTCAGGTCTGTCTTACCGTGACGCTGAGTGTCCAGGCCCTGTGTTTGTCGTCGGTGACTGGGGTTAAGATCCTCAGGGCCCAGCAAGGGCAAAACAGAGCGGGTTATTGTAGGTTTGAGGCGAGCGATGCTGCTAGCTCTCCACAACCCCTGTTTCTGGCTGAGTCTCTGGTTTGGGAAGCAGAGAGGGTGTTTTTCTTTCAAAAGTTACATTTCACAGAATGATGTGTTTAATAGCCACCAGACTGAACATTTTGTTTTCTAAGTTCTCAGAGTTGTTTCAGTTGACAGATGGCTGAGGGGTATGAGCAGTTTTAGGTGAGTTGGCGACCATGTGCTTTCCACCTTAGAAAATTCCGTCTTCTAAGAGGGGGCTGAGCATGGCTTTACCGATGTGCTGACAAGTCCTGTCTCAGGGTCTGGGAGTGCTGGGAGGGCAGCTCTGTCTGACTCTCTGGGAATTCTCCTATCTGAACCAGGGCCCAGCTCACAGGGGACACAGGGATTGATAGACACCTCCAGTGCAGCCCAGATGCTACTGAAGGACGTTATATCTCCAGAGGCAAACACAGGACTTTTAGATTCCATGTATCGTTGATTCTAAAGATGGACATCGAAATCCTGGCCAGTCCCCATGTCCTATGTCCCCTAGTTCCCTCTGTTCTAAAGCTTATATGTAGAGGAGTCCATGGTCTCTTACCAAGCCACCCCTAATTAAATCTGAAACTTTAAATGAAAACTATGCACGTTCAATAGGTGGCAACTATTAATGTATTTTTCAGTGTGTGTGTGTGTCTGTGTGTGTGTGGTATGTGTGTGTGTGTGGTGTGTGTGGTGTGTGTGTGTGTGTGTGTGTGTGTGACATGCAATCATGTATAGGCAATGAGTGACGCCTGTGTGGAGGCTGGAGGACAACCTGTGGGAGTCAG